TTCACAGGTCTGCTGTACTTAGCAAGGATTTCTCATGGTAACTGCAAGAATGTAAAAGACTTAAGGAAAAGTGATGATCAAAATATATGACAAAAAAAGGACATAAAAATTTATGTCCTTGTATATGGGAAGACCTATGCTTTCAATTCAGAAATTCATCTTGAAACTCAGACATCAAGTCCTTATTTGTACAGGTGTACACTAAATGATGTTGTGAATAGATTTGTTGTTTCTGTTTCCCAAATTATTTAACATATGACATTCAACAATTGGTTTACCAGCTTCCAAGTGATGTTACATTTGCTAACAGAGCACAAAGTGACCAGCGTTGGAACTGTATGAAGAAACAAAATAGAAATTCCAAATGAAATGTTGCAATTTCAAGACAGAGAATTGTGCAAATAAAATATTTGGATTTGAGATAGATTTACATGGGACTCACAGATGGCACAGAAAACCAACTGGCACTGCTGATGTCAAGAATGCATCATGATGAAAATATTGATAGGAGAATCTCAACAAAATGTAAGTTTGAAATGAAAACTTCCTATAACAAAACCAAAGGTGGAATAGATGTTGATGAGTTATGCAGCAACTATGATGCCACCTGAAACACAAAGCGTTGGCCAACGGTTGAGTTTCAACTGATCCTAAACATATGTGGCATAAATAGTTTGATAGTTTACAAAGAAAATTTTCTTAGAAGTTTGGGACTAAAACTCATAAGAGATCATTTATAGCAGAGGAAAACCAAAATGCTTCTGGGCAAGGAACGACGCAACCGAATTGTGGGTCACACTGGTGAGCTGATAGGTGAACAGGCAGGTGCAACGTCCCAAAGTCCTGTTGTGGCAAAAAGAACCAAAAAGATGTCAAGGACATACGGGAAAGGACAACAAAACAAATGTGCTATCAGTGTACGTGATATTTGTGTAAGGAACATGCAATTGTGAAAACTGCCTCGGGTGTGACAAGTGAAGCAAAGACTATTTATGTTGTAGAGTTCTATTGGTATTTTCATTGTTTTTATCTCTCATATTATCTCTTAAGCTTTGTAAGCAAGCAAACAGCTGATATGAAAATGTTAATGTATACACTTGATATTTTATTTTATTGATGTCTTGTTTCCCCACGAAGATCACGTGACACAGCATGGTAGGAAGCACCTGACAACACAGGAAGAGAGGCGACAACAATGGTCTGTCACGTAGGAAAGGAAATCTAAGCACATGTGCTATCAATAATACTGAGACATGTGGATGGAACACGCAGGTGTCACGTGAGGAGGCTGCCTCGGATGCGACGGCTGAGACAAAGCTTATTTCTGTGGTAGACTTTTGTTTGTGTTTACACTGTAGTTCACATAGATTTTCATGCCTACCAGGTTTTATAAGCAGCTGATAGGAAAATGTGATGTTTATTGTAAATGTCCAATACGTATTAAAATTTAACACTCTGATTGGTACTTATACTCTTGTTAACTACACATTGCATAACATAAGAACTCCTGACAAAACTGCAAGATGTCAAACACTGTCCTACAAAAAGGCCAGGAAAGCAAAACACATGTGCTGTCAGGGTAAACAATGTCACATGCTTACCTGTTTTTTTCATATGTGAAGACCATCTTAGGTGTGATAATTGAGGTAAAGATTTTTTTTTTTTTTGGTAGAGTGCTATTTGTATTTTTACTGTAGTCACATAGGAATTTATTTATGTTGTTCTTTTTTAGACTTTGTACATCAAAAACCAAAAATTTGATGTTGAAAATTTTGATGCTTTTATATACTCAATATACACTAAAAAATGTGATACTTTACTTTGTTGTTTTTTTTGCTATTGAGCACTCATTGTTTAACAAAAATCTGTAAGATTAAAATTAATAATTCATGAGTAGAAATATTCTAAAGAACAAATGAGGGTCAACACACCACGTTTTATGGGCTTTCTGACAAAAAGTGCTGTGCTGCATGGGACTCAGCCGCGGTGCTGAGTACTTTGTCCTAGGGATGAGACGCTAATGAAGACAGACATCAGGAGGGAAGGCGCTAGGAGCAATCTTTAGTGAGGAATGGAAATGGAAAATGGCCTGTCACAGTGCCAGTGACAACGTAAGGTGAAAGGCACAAACCCAGCAGTCCTCAAACAATCAGTCGTAGGATTATCTAATTCAGTGATTACTGAGAGAGATTAGAGCATGTATCTACAAAGAATATGAACAGCACTGCCCGTAACAGTGAAGAACCTGGCACGGGACACGAAGTGAGGCAACATAAAATGTTCTCAAATGTGTCCTCATAAATTACTACTACTTAATGTGGCTTTCATCTTCTGCTTGAATTTCTACTTTGTGTCTTACAATCTGTAAGAGGCAGGTTTCAGCCCCAGGACATCTGTTTTCTTTAATGCTCAATTGTTAAATTAATCTGAGCTAAAATTAGAAGAGATTGTTACATTCCTGAAAAATGCAACAAATCAAATACCAATTGGATTTATCCAGAATATAAACTGCAAAAATATTCAAATATCCTCAAGTGCTTATAAGTTTATAGCTCCCATGAGCATTGTTCTTGGAATTATAAAAAACTGTTCTTTTCAAATTACTTTGGAAATGTGTAAGATCAACATGCATTTTAAGCATTCATTGATCCACTGAAGTGAAAATTAAATGAAACTCCATCCATGCGCCTTTGAGCTAGAAATGACTGGCCTGACAGTCTAAAAGGAAAAAACCACAGCAGCCAAGAAAAAACTGTGGAAAGTACAAATTTAACATCAGTTTGATTATCGTACCATAAGGGAGGTATGTGTTACAAAAGATTTATGAGAATACCACAGTGTGGAGTAAGGTAGATGGAACGGGGGACACACTTCAACTGGAGGGCAGTTTCCATTTTGCTACGGCTAAAAGGAATCCACGAATTCTTATCATTCTTTCCACCACCTGAGAGCAAATGTTCTTATAATCTTTTCATACATATGATGTCATCTTATAGTTCAGAATGGGCTGTAAGAGACCTACACAATGAAACAGGCCACCTCCTGGCACTCTCCGGAAAGGAAAAAGGTACACAGATGCGAAAAGATCATTCCAGGTGTGAGACGGAAAAACAGCACAGCCAGCGAGTGGCGTCTCAAGGAGCTGAGACCACATAAGGAACAAGGACAGAGCTCAAGCTCAGAAACACCAGGAGGAGGGCACGAGGGAGGAGTCTGCCAGAAGGAAGTGTGGCTTCAGAAGCCGTGGTGGGATCCTGGGCCAGCGCTCAGTTAAAGGGCAAAGGAGCAGGAATCAGCGGTTTCAGCCTTACAGGAAGGGCTGTTGGGCTAACTCATCATCCACGAACCCATGAGCTCCAGGGGTCCAAAGAAGCTCAAACAGACCCTCATGGTTCTACTACTTGTTACCAACCTATTCCAAGGAATTTAAAGACTTAGCTGTTCAGCAAACAGAATTTGGAATTAGCAAGTCTTTTACTCTAAATAAAAAGTAAAAGTGGAATCCCCCAGCTTGACTTACGGCCTCTCGCTTCTTAATCTCTCTAGCCCAGGTACGGTCTTACACCTTGCTGGTGGCCCAGTTTACAGGAATGAGGCAGTGGCTCTAGCAAGAAGTCCTGGAAGCCGTGTGGGACACAAGCTCTGCCCTCTAACTCCTCGGCATCTTCAGGCACGACATTTAGGAGTTTTCATTAGAAGATGAATCCTGTCCTGTCTCACTACTATCCCATTAAAGTATCAACAAGGTATTTCTTTATACCATAAATGGGCATTTTAAAGAGTGACAGAGGAAGAATGGCTTAAATTACACATTAGTACTTATGCATTTACTAGCCCTGTCTCCTCTAATGGGAACAGAGGTACATTTTTATGTATCTATCAGAAGGTTACCTTGACTCCAGTTTAATTCTAATTATTATAGATGCCACCTTATTAAGATGCTTATTTATGCAATACTATATATAGCAGGGGTGATCTGAAGTAATGCTATTTCTGCTCTGTGATGCATTTTACACAGACAGAATCCATGAATTTTTACTCACTTAGGAAAAAAAAAAAATGACCTCATAGGAACAGCCAGGCAATCTTGCTCTGTAAGGGTGGGGATACAGACCAAAGGGGGAGAGAGAGCTTTAGACCTTCTCTGTTCCCTAAAGTTTTAGAAAATGGGTCACATTACTGGTGAGGTGGATTTATTCCTGCATGGGTAATGTACATCATTTTTTAGTTTCAAAATTAACTCATTTACATTTTTAAATTTAAAATTTTAAATATTTATTTATGTACTTATTTATTTGGTACAGAGTCTTGCTACGTAGTTCAGACTCGTACTGATTCTCTTGTTTCAGCCTCCCTAGCGATGGGATTAGAGGTGTGTGCCACCGTGCCCAGTTTCAGGGCTGGCATGTCATGTGGCATGCATTTGACAGGGATTTTCTGCAGGGTAAATACAGGGAAGAAATCCAAATGTACCGGGGATCCAACTCAGGTCTTTACGTTTGCCAGGCAGGTGCTTACACTGTGGAGGTACTCCCCTGCCCCCCACGCATTTTTTAGAGTAGTTTAAGTTTAACTAAAAACTGAGCAGAAAATGCAAAGGGTCCACTGTGTAACCTTTCATCTTCCCTATTTCCTGGGCCCCTACCATACCCCACAAACAACATCCTCTCGTATTAATACCTTTCATTCTTGTGATACTTATTATAGCCGATGAGTCAGTACCAACACAAAATTATTGACTGAATTCATAGCTTATATTGAGGCTCATGCTTTGTACTGTATATTCTACGGGTTTTGACAAACGTATGACATCGCACACTATTAAAGTAGCATGCAGCAGAATTTACCGTCTTCAAGTGCCTTGTTCTCTGGCTACTCATCCCTGCGCACTCCTCTTTTAGCTCTACAAATCATACTTTTCAACAGAAAAATCCCTCAACAGCTTTTTACTTAGCTTGTTTTGAGCCTACCTACTATTTTATAGGGAATTAAAAACTTACCGGCTCAACAAATTCAAACTTCTTTTTTTCTTGAACCTCTTGAATTTTAAAGACATATTCCAATGATGCTTCATAGAAGTTTTGATGCTCTCGGTCAATCTGTGTATCTGCCTAAAGAATGAGAAACAGGCAAGGCATGGTAGGAGGGAATCACCAGTGGTTCTCTACAGAGACAATTAACACAGTACTTGAAAATTTTATCCAAACTAATTCTGCAGGAAGAGTTAATATAGCAGGTTTTACAGCCCTTCCTCACAAGAGCTTGAGAAACAGAGATACAGGAAATGAAAGAACTTATTCTCATGTAAATTAAAAAAAAAAAAAAAAAACAACCCACTGAAAAGGTTTGACAGGGATTTTCTGCAGGATAAATACAGGGGGAAAAAAAAACAGGGAAGAAATCCAAGAAAGTGAAATTTGCATCACACTATGAAAGAGCTTGGGCCCTGAATAACACATCTGGGTATCGGTCTGGGAAGAAGCATCTGAGAATAGTAAGCAGAAGGGCTGCATCATTAAATAAAATCTTGTAGAACTAGTATGGTAGCAGAACCAAAAAACAACAACAAAAACCCAACAGCTCTAACCTGATGAACCCTGCACGGTCAGCATCAGGCACATTCCTTCTGATTGCCATAAGGTCCTACTGATCGAGGATGGGACAGTGTCACTGAGGGAATTCATTTTCTTTCTGCCTTCATGTCTCTACTCTCTCTTTTGTCCCACACTCAGCTATGTGCCTGAGACATGGCTTTGGCTGGGCAAAAACACAGTGTCTTCGCCCTGCTCCACACTTCTAGCTGACAGTGGGGACCACTGAAAGCAGGTCACAGGTGCAGATCCTCCCGAGTACCAGGGCCCACTTACAACTAGAGAATGGAAAATGCTTGGGAGACATTTAAAATAGTAATTTCACGAGAGAAAAACATGGAAAATAAAATTTCTTGACATGGACATCACGCTATAGCATTTCACTCCAAGTGCCTTTAAAAATAATTATAGTCGTGTATATTTCTTACTTACCAGTAATTATGAGAAGGATTTTTTTTTTTTTTTTGCAGGGGTTGGGGGGACTGGCTCCGGCTGCCTTATGGGTAGGTCTAGTAAGGCAGGTGGAGGTGGGGATCGAACTGGGGTCCCCTGCAGCTGAATGGGTTTTCCAGAGCAGGCGATTAAACAATTGAGCTAACCTGCAAGCCCCCAAAGGAGATATTTGGGCTGGGGAGATAGGAATTTTTTTTTTTTTTTTAACAGTACTGGATATTGAACTCAGGACCTTGCTCTTGCCAGGCAGGCACTTATTCTACTGACCTGTCTCCCCAGACCCACTTACCAGTAATTATGAACAGCAACTCCCTGGGATTCATTTTAAAGTTGTTACTTCAAAGTTTTTAAGCTAATATCTGTGAAAAGTCTATAAAGCAGTTGGAAGATTTGAACAAAAGGTTTCTGAGTTCTCAAAGACTATTTAGGAAAGAACAGGGCACCGACTATTAAGATAAAAAGGAAATTTTTACTTTACACAAACCATCTTTTTTCCTTCTTAGCATCACTTAGGGGCAATTTAAGTTAACAGTGAGATATAGGTGGTGGTGTACATTTTTAACAACTGATATTCTAGGAGGAAAAAATCTGTTTGTAGTGTTTGCTGCAAAAAACTTTCTGTGGCATCAACAGTCCCCAAATGACCACTTCCAAATCATAAACTCATTATCGCTGAGTGTAGGAGTTGGAAAGAGACGCAAAAATGGGCTCTGCCAAGCAAGTTTCACCACACTACGGACAAAAGAGATGCAAGAACATCTTTCCTAGGCAACGTTCTATTCTACAGCTATTTCAAATCTTCATGTACTTTCCAATGTGATGACATTAACTGTGCTGCCTAGCATACTAGAAGAAACCTTAACACGGCAGCACCTCTAGAGCCCACGGTGGTTATTTCCAATCAAGAAGCTGTGCAGAAACAGTTAATACGGCACCAGGCCTGGACTGCTCTTATGCAAGAGACTGTACAAAGCTGGTCCTTGGCTGACATCTGGGGATGTGAGTGGGAGTGTTAGCTGATAAGAGAGGCTCGTGCCCAACTGTGTGCGCAATATGGCTTATGCCAAGTCCTTCCTTTCTGTTCAAGAGTGTGAAATCTGGATAAGTGCCAGGGAGAGTGGTCCCTCAGTGCACCCTGCAATAAAACTCTGAACAGTGAGTTTCCCATGAGCTTCAGGGTAAGATGTTTACGTGTGCTGTCATTGCTCGCTGCTGCGCAAGAGCGCGCGTCCTATTTGTCTCCACTTGGAGAGGACTAATGAGGGTACATCTGGTTACCCCAGACTTCGCTCTGAGCACTTTCCCTTCACCCCATCTTCTTCCCATCCTATAAAAGACAGCCACAAATCCACTATTCTGCATCCTCTACATTCTCCTAGACAATCACCAACCACAGTGAGTCTTGAGCACCATGACTCAAGTATAAAGTCTTCTTCAGAAACACGTTTGCGATGCACACTACTGTTCCACTCCCCCCACCCTGGGGCACAGCACAAAGAAAGAGGACAAATAATGATTCTTGGGAGTCATCAGTTACAGATGTTTTCAAATACCTCCATCCTAGATAACTGAAAAGTGACAAACCAAAACTGCTCTGAGAGCCACCCAGAGTGTACCATTCTTAAGTCTATGACAACATAGTTATTTTCAGTTCTAGATTTTTTTTTTTTTTTTTTTTTTTTTTTTTTTTGTATTTTAGGGAAGGGCCTATAGGGTGTTCAGGGTCTCACTACTAGATTGGACTGGAAGTGATCTGCCTGTTTATAACCTCCCAAGAGCTGGGATTGTAGGCGCGTGCCACCACGCCCAGTCTTAATTGCCCTCTCAGTGTGCCCTGGGGACGGGCCCAGCAACAGCACCAGATTTATAATGGCATTTCTATACTTGGAAAATACATTTTATAAACCTACTGTGTGGTTCACTAGTAAACACGTAGCAACTGGTGCTATATCTTTAGTATTGGATAAGTAGGTTATGGTTTTATCATTCAAACTGGGATGATTTTAAAACTAAAAGGGAATATGAGTAATAATTATGTCAGAACAGCATGTGTACCTTGTTGCTGACATGGCAAAAGTGACTTTAATGTAAGAAACTAAATTAATTTCACAGGAAAACCACGTGGCTCTCCAGGTAGCTAAATTTCCTCCAGCAAGCTATAGCAAGCACCCTGACTGGAGACGAAGCCACAGATGGTAGGTGTTTGATCATTCCCGGAGGACAAGGGTTCAAGATCATCTCTGCAGAACAAGCACATTGAGAAGAGGAAGAAGGGTAAATGAGAAGAGTTTGAGTGAGGGAATAGAGTCAGAAGGCTACAGTTTTCTTTGGGTTAACCAAAAGATATGTAACTGAAGGTTTAGTTTGGTAAAGCAGAAAGGATAGTTCACAAAAAAGCTGACAGTGGCTGTATCCTACAGATGTGCAAGCGCTGAGGAGATGCTGGTACGGACTCGCTATACTCGAGGAGCCTAATGTGAGGATGAAACTGCGTGCCTGCGAACAGAAGATCTTTCTTTCATTGGGTAATGGTGAAATGTCCAGTACACCCCTCACAAAAAAGGCAGCTTGAAAGTTGTGCGTGTGAGAAGCAAGGAAAAAATAAAGACGAATTTGACATTCTCATTTCCTTTGACATTAACAGCCAAGGAAATGAGAAAGAAGAGAACATTTAGGAAAGACATGATATGCAAGATTTCACGTGTTGCCAAGATTTAAGAATCTAGAGCCTTGGAACACTGAACGATGCCGAAGGGGCAGACACAGTCATGCTTGACGATACGCCATGGAGAATAAAGAAGGCGGAAAGCTCAGGGCCAGCAACGGCCGGGCGAGCACAACTCCCAGAACTGCGCTGAAGGCTCTGCGTCACGAAAGGGCTGGGATGTGAAGGGTGGCACAAAAGAACAGGGGGGACGTGGGAACCGAAGACACAGATTTCTAGCAGGAATCTATTTTCCATTTTACTTTTTCTTGTAGCTATAATAGCAATATACATTTATTATAATAAGTTTATTATTCATTACTTTTGTGAAGAAATGTGAAGAATGACAACCTCACAGATAATAGTCTGGTGTGTAATATACACATACAAATCTACTTTAAAACAAATCTTAAATGTTACTGCATATTCCTGCTTAAAATTTATTTTATTTTTCTTTGCTTAATCTTACAATATTTCAATTGACTTTCCCAGTGGAATTTTTAACAGTCATATCAACTTCCATTTTTGGTCAACTATATTTGTATATTTATCCCAATCATTCTTTTTGAAATCATTTATTTCACATGCTTCTAAATTTTTATGTTATGAAAAATTTGTGTATTTATACAGTACTTACACAATTTTCAAGCATTTCTCTCAGGTAAATTTCTATCAGTAGAAATGACCTCAATTATCCCACACAATTCAGGTTTGTTGAGATGAGGTCAAATTTACCTCAGGATGAGAGGGTGGGTAAGGAAGAATGGTTTACAGGATTGAAAATGGTCAAAATATGTTATGATTGTGTTCCAACTCTCCAAAATTAACACTATTATTCTATAGTGCACATATTAGTAAAATTAACAAAAAACAAGAATGAGCAAATATTTTTATGTTCCAATGAGAACAAAATATGCCTCGTTTCTGCTGCTTCCACTAACAATGCTTATCTTATAATGAATTTAAAATGACAACTTATTATTCCTTCACATTACTTTCAACAGAGGACACTGCGATAATATTCAATTTTTTTGATAAGATTTATTATAGTTTATAGTTTCTCTTTGATCACTTCTCTCTTATATCCTTAGTCTACTTTTCCTCCAGATTTGCAAATGTGTCATATACATAAAAGATGTAATCCTTGTCATGTTATATAAATTCCCTAATGCTCTGGGATTTAATTTTGTTTAATAGTTTTTGAAACAGATTATTTTAATGTATCCAGGTCTTCTTACATTCCTTTTATGATTTCTTTTCATTTTAACCTTAGAAATGAATTTCTCTCACATCAAATGTGATTTCTTTGCACCCACCCTAATCCTAGCAAGTCTGTCCCCAATTCTCCACCTGTGTATGCCAACGACCTGTCTAACTTATGACTTTGAAACCGTGTCAGCACCAGCTGCCCTTTCAAGGCAGCTCTGAAATAGCCAGTCACACATTTCCTATGAGCCAAGAGAGTAAGGAGTTGGCAGTGCAGGTGAGAATGCACACAGGTATCTTTTTGAGACCAAGTCAGTAAGCGTGGTGCTGGTGGATGAGCAAAGCCACGCTGGGAAGGGACAGACGGCACCAATGTCACAATGCAGAATTAAGTGGCAGCGTCTCCCTACAACGGGCTTAACTCTTGGGGAGGAAGAGGGAGGAAAGCCCGGTCACAGCCCCGTGTGCAGTGCATATGGCTTTGGTGCAGCTTGGTGGCCGTGTGGAGGGCTGTGCCTCCTGGCACGGAGGTACCTGTGTGCTGCGCACCTGGGGAGTGAGACGGGAGGAGGGTGCTACTGACTGCGTTAGAGCCTCTTCTAGCCTCCAGCTAAACAGAGCCAGGCAAGTGTTCTATCATCCACAGTGTGCGGGACGACCAGCCAGGGAAGCCTCGCACTGAGCAAAGTTGTCAGGGACGCTGAGCCATGGCCTCCAGAGCGCTTCCCAATTAGGCTGCAGTCACGGCGTCCTTGAGCAGGTTTCAGCAGCGTCCTGTCTAAGGGCAGCCCCTCACTCTCACCAGGAATCCCAAGTTCTTCAGGGACTCTAAAAGCCACCCTTGATTTGAGGCAACCGATTTCTTTAACTGGCACTGGGCCCCAGCCCTCGGCCCCGCTGATGGCTGTGCGCCAAGGAGTTATGGGGCCTCCTTCCCCTTTTCCCCTAAAGTCTATTGTAGTGCAACATACAAAGAGAAGCATGAGGATTTAAAACATTTGGAGCACATAAACAGAATATTAAATTACAATAAGCAATCCCCCATTCTCAGAGAAGTAAATATGTCCAAGAAATTTAAAATAGAGTCTAGCTTTCCTTAATGGCAGATTCTCTTCCATTTCACTTCAGTCACATGAACTTTACATGCGAACAGAACTGTACACAAGCCTTAATAATGGAAGGCCTAGATTATATTGAACTCATGCAAAGCCAGTTTTCCCAGTCTGAATCTGCTCTGAATGAAGAAACCAGTTATCTTCAAAAAGAACATAAATATTTTGGAATAGAAAGGAATCAAATGCCAATATAATATTCCTGGTCACTTGATTGGAAATTTTAACACTTATAACATTGAACATGAGTCGTGGCTAAACATGCAAGTATGGGAATTAAAAAACAGGATAATAAGACCAGAGCACAGAGGACCAGGGACACTGCAAAAAGCAGCTGAGAGAGGCTTTGCCAGGCTGAAGATGAGGGAGAATTGAGACACCAATGGCAAGGAAGTCTTATTTTTCTGACATGCTCCATCACTGAAACTGGAATTGCACTGATCCTTAGTGGAAGAACTACTGTTGATTTCATGAATTATAGTTACAATGCTGACAAAGGAAGGAACAAAATACAATATTATTTCAGACAAAAGGAAGCAGACTGCAAGAGATAATATTGTTGGTCTTTTGTACTTAAAGAAAACAAAGATTTTTAAAGTATATACCTATATATCTTATTCTGCCAACCTGAGCCAAAGCTTTAGAATAAATGACACAGATTTTTAAAATTTAACATAAAATGAACTTGATAGGACTTACCTCTTTAAAATATGATGAAGAAAAAGAAGAAGAAAAAACATCTTGTTTAACCCTGCTAATTGTTGAAGGAAACACTAATCTTTCACTTGGAACCACTAATTCTAAATGCCATCATGTGTCCAAAGCCCTGTCCACAATAGGCTCAACCAAGTGGGCTACCGTTACTGTCATTTTATTAAAAAGTAGGAAAATCTACATGAGTTAATATTAATGCTTTTCCACCTCTCAATGAGGAAAGCTTACCTCCTGCAAATGAGATTCCTTTTTCTTTGCAGACAAATTCAAATGCTTGTCAAGAATAGAATAGTATTTTTCACTTTCCTTGTCAAATTTCTTCTTTCCATCCTAGGGGACAGGAATTACAATTAGAAAGATTCAAATCAGAGCATCAAGGAAGCCTTCATTTTCTCAGTGCTCTCCAAGAGTCCAACATAACTCTTTAAGGCTTTCCTACATTGCGGCTATGTCCAAAACCTTCACTCAGTAGAATCATGTAGGTGATTCTAAAGGGTTAACCTACAAGCAGTTCAGACAGCCACTTCACATAGACTATTTTCATGGAAGCTTATTTCCCAGCCACATTTTCAAATGACTAACTTTTGATAGGGAGGAAAGGGCTTTTACTAAAAACCTCAAATAAGAAAGGAAGTTCAAAGTCAGATCAAAAGAATTAACATCCACAACTCACATTGATTTTTATTTCTAAAAAATCAAGTTTTCTTTTTTTGGGTTGTGGGAGGATATTGATAACAGGACGGCCTTTTCATGGAAGAAGAGAGTATCTTTATTTGTTAGATTATGGTATAGTTGCACAGAAATGCAAATGTAAGGAAATACTTAGGGGAACAGGCTATACCTTCTGAAGCGACAACTATTGTACCACTAGGCATATCACTTTTATTTATGGATCTATATAAATTACTGATACACAGATATCAATATTCAAATAAATATTAGTCCCTCCTTTTGTTGCAGTGTGTCTGAAACTGCAATCTCAGGATCGCTTGACTCAGCCACGTGTTTACAGCTTGGTCATAATGCGCAGCCCTACTTTCCTCACCCCAAAGATTCTGGAACTACTGTTTAAACCTTCTATGATTCTTATGCATAAGGCTTTGTGCCACTATCGGCATAAATCCTGTTAAAGATGGGTGGATGGACCGAGGAAAGGAAAGGGAGGGATATGAAAGGGAGGGAGGGAGGGAGGGAAGGAGGGAAGGAGGAAGAGGAAGGAAGGATAGAAAAAGAAGAAGTGAGAAAGGAGCATGAAGTTGAAGGAGGAGGCCAGGCAAGGAGGGAGGAGGAAGCGGGCCCCAGCGTGGGGCTCTTTCCCCTTATTCCGAGGCAGTCAGAGCTAAGTCAGAGCACACAGATGATGCTACTTTCATGCCCTGGCATTCTAACTTCGTTCTTAAATACACTTCCAGGATCACAGCTTGATCTGTTTCCATACATGGAATTTCAGGCAGTGAGCTGATGAAGCTGAGTGGAATAGGAGGACTCTGCTTTAAACGTTCAAGCGATGCCTCATCTTGGTCCAAATGTGTACTGTTCCTAGTGTCTTATCCATTATTATACTATCTTAAAATAATTAAAACAAAAAAGACAAAGAAAAAAAATTAAGATTTCTTGAAAGCAAGTGCCAATGTTCAATTATTTCCCAAATTCTATATAACTATATGTTAATCTGAGCAAGATTTGAAGATAAAAATAGACAATATAACAACTACTATTAATTAGCTATGCCTGTTTTGAAAATCTGTAACGTATGTATTGTTGTATGTTACCCTGGTTGTCTCTTTCTTTTCTCTGTCTCTTTTTCTATTTCTTTTTGCTTTTTGTTTTACTCTTCAAAATAAAATAAAATATAAAAAAAAGTTCAAGCAAGTTTTAGACCACTTAAGAAATATGGAGGTTTGTTCATGAAAATATGACATCTGAAAATGAAAGCGACATCAGTCAAAACCTTCAAGGTGCCCGTATTAGCTAAAGAGAAGGTGCTGTCTTATTTAGAGAAACAGAACTGGGAAATCAGAATACCATTTCCATCCAAGAAAGGTTCTGCAGAATTTACAAAACAAATATGGCAGAGCAGACTTAAAACAGAGAGGCCCACGGCCCTGAGGGGAAGAGACCAGTCTCAGCGTCGCCAGAACAGACTCGGGTGCACACAGCACCTTGTCCTCAGCCGTTCTCACTCTGAGGCGCTGCTTCCTGCCCACGACTGACCTGTCCAACCTGCCCTGCCGAGCAGTGCTCTCCGAGCTCCCGCCAGCTCCCTACTCATGCTCTTTCCTTCTCCGTCACACACGTTCCTGCCTTCCACGTCACACATATTCAGCTGCCGTCCACTCTAACCTCTAGCTCCAAAAGCCTCCCTCACAAGTCCTGTCTCTCGACACCCTCTTTCTCCGTTCACACAGCTCTGTGAACGAGTCTCTTGGTGTCCTCTGTAGTGCAGCAGTTTATGTACGCTGCCCATCTGCCTTAAAACTGGACACCTAGTGAGCGACCAACAGGTCCCCAATGAGAGGTGAAAGTCTCTCTTACACTTATGGGCACCACTGTCCCGCACAGAAACTCTCTTTGCTCAGTAAGCTGATAGCCAGGATGCATGGACCATGCTGCACAAACAGCCCTAACTTAGACCCGAAGACCTCAGTGTGAGTGGGCAGCCAGCTGCGTTGGTGTACAGTACAGAAGACTGACTGTCACGCCACAGTAGGGGCTTACGATTTTGCGCTGGGCACAGAAGAAGAGGAGATTGGTTTTGGGAGACGAAGCACAGCTGGGGCGATGACCCCTGTCTTTTGATTTCAGCTTGTGTTTGGTGACATTTTTGGGAATGCTAATTCCATGCCAACACATCAGCATTTCTGGCAACACAAGAATCATTCCTAGAACCACTTCCCAGATTATTCAAATTTTGGACTTTCACAGGCCAGGGAAATAAATGTATTCAAAGGTTCCAGTGATGTAGACAACAAAAACACATTCAGTTGGAGCATAACACGAGTTGAGATTAAAAGACCAGACCACATACAGGACAACTATAATCTAGGCAAGCATGTTCTAGAAACAAAAAGCCCCTTTCCCTGAACCTCCCATCCTCCCAAAGCTATGATTTACTGCACACATAAGCCAAGTCTGATTTGGACTCAGAGGCACAGCCTGCACAATGCTCCTGGGGCTTGGTATACTCAAAACGGACATCAGACTAAGACTGTCGCTAAAAGTGGTGCTGCGGAAGGGAGGAAAACAGTCCATGAGGGGCCTTCCCTGCATGTTGTGCACAGTCACTGTCTTCTTGGTGCTATGCCAAGAGACTTTTTTTTTAAAAAAAAGAAGGCTACATATTATTATGTATGTTTTCCTGAGATCTACTGAAAGGATATGCAAAGTGAGTAATTATTAAAATAACACCAGAAGAAAAAGTAGTTTGAGAGAAAGCAGAAGATAATTAAGAGAAAAGAGATTGGGCTCAGGAGACAGCTCAGCGATTTAAGGCCTGCCTTGCAAGTCCAAGGACCTGCTTGATCCCCAGTACTGCATGTTGCACTGGCCACTGAAGCCGGGCGTGTGGCGCACACCTGTAATCCCAGCGCTGGGGATGGGGGAACAGGAGGGTCACTATGAATCTGAACTGTTTCGCGAGACCCTGTACTAAATAAATGTTTTTAAAAGGGAGAGAAGAGATGGCCTACACAGTAAACTAGTCTAGCCCCAGGCCCAGTTACAGTCAGCATAAGGTAAGTCACTACAGCATCTGCTACTGGCTGGCTTCCCAAGGCAGTGTGCTTATTGAGCACAGCGACACTTATGCTGCGCCCCACTTTCATCTCACATGCTGAACGAGGGGTGAGAGGGAACCTTCGCAAGAGATTCCCAGAGCCAAACTAGCAGTACTGCTACTTCTCGCAGAAAACTTGTGTGGAATACTTAAAACGTTTTATTTAATTTTAAAATTTTTTTTAAATTTAAAACATTTTAGACATTTATCACTTACACCTATATATCAAAATGCATAGTATTGGGGTGGGGAAATAGCTCAAAGGCACGAGTGCCTGCCTGGCAAG